CCTGAATTAGACACACCTTAGTCCTCAAATTGACATCATTACTACTCAGTAACTTGGAAAAGTCTCTAACTGAAGATTTTCCCAGTGCAATGTGTCTCCTTTTTTCCTGATCACTTATACCAAAGATGTTAAATGTGAATCCAAGCAAGATGAAGATGTTGACAGCTTCAATCTCCTCTCCATCCATCATGGCACTGCCTATTGGTCCAGTAGTAAGAATCTTTGGGTTTTTTAATTATTTTTTTTATATTGAGATGCAATCCTTACTGAAGTTTGCATTCCTTGATCTTCTGCTACAAGTGCTTCAAGTCCTCCTCACTTTCAGCAAATAAGGTTGTGTCCTTACTGAATGACATTTAATTAAGTAAGGTTGTATTTCTGTAATGCAGGTTACTGATGACTCTCTGTCCAATCCTAATGCACATTCCTCTTCAAAGAATCCAGCCTTTTGAATAATTTGCTCAACCTTTGAGCTGTGGTGTTAGAGAAAGAACATCCCATTGACAGCAAGAGAACAGATATGTCAGATGCCAATAAAGAGCTGAGAGAGAGAGAGAGAAAGAACACCAGAGAGAGAGAGCACAGCTAAAGTACTCTTCGGAGGCAAGAATGATGAGGCTTCTCCTGTCATACTTTGGACATTTTGCTAGGAGATGCTATTCCTTGCAGAAGAACATGATGTTGAGAAGGGTGAAGGGTGGGCAAAGGAGAGGAGGACTCTCAATCAGGTGGATTGACACGGTGACTGCTGCAATGGTCTCTCTTGTGTCAGGAAGTGTATAGATGGAGCAGGACAGGACTGGGCTCACATATTTCATTCATAGCGTTGCTATAAGTCATATTCAACCAATGGCAACTAACAACAACAATAACGCTATGAAGAAGAATATGGCATCATGATTGGAATTAAGCTTCCTCAGCAACCTACATTATTATTATACAAGTGATGAAGCCTTGAAGTACTTACTGAAGAAGAGCAAAGACTACAGCCTTCAATATACGCTGCATCTCAACATCAAGGAAACAGCACTAGGCTAAAAGGAAACACGAAAGATGGAGGAAAGAGGAAGGATTTAATTTTACTTGAATCTATAGTAGTGGGAGGATGGACAACCTTCTCTCATGTGATTAACTGCCACTGAAAACCCCCCAGAGCGTCATTTATGGTTTGATCCCACCTCTACAGTACACAACAGCAACTATAGTCTGTAACCATGGTAGCAGCAATCAAGAAATCAAAAGATGTGTTGCATTGGAGAAATCTGCTGTCAGGGACCTCTTTAAAATGTGAAAGTGCAAGTTGCTGTTGAATTAAGGATAATGAAACTTTGCTTACTTACGTTGATACATTGTCAGGATGGACTAGATCTTGGGAAAAGTCTCTTGCTGAGAAAGATTGGAGGTTGGATAAAGAGAGGAAGATTCTCCATCAAATAAATTGACCCAGTGACTGCAACTATGTGGATGAGCATGAGTGAGATTATGAAAACAATGCAGGTTAGGGCAATATTTAGATCTGTTCAGAAGATCGCTACAAGTCATAGTCACCTCAATGTAGTTAACAACAATCTTAGTATCACAATAGACATAATTCTGTTATGACACTTATCAGATTTTTATATATTGTTGTTGTTGCTAAGTGCCAACAATTTCTTAAGCTCATAGTGACCCTGTCTATGGCAGAACAAAATCCTGCCTGATTCTCAACCAGCTTCACAACCTCTGTTCTGTTTAAGCTCATAATGGCTGCCACTGTGTCATTTCATCTCACTGAAGGCTTCCCATTTTTTTGCTGACTCTCTACCAATTATGATATCTTGACCGGCAAGACTAGACCCTCCTTATAAACTGATTAAAGTGTATTAGTCAAAGTCTCTGTAGAAAGCTCTCTGCCATGGTGACTCTGTTAATATTTAAAATACCAGTGGCAAAGCTTCTAGCTTCACAGCAAAGTACAAGGCACAGCATTCCAAGGCACTGACTGACAAGCAAGTGGTGTACTTATTATATAGTAATTGTTGAATATGGTTCTACAGATCATTAAATATAGAAGACTAGGTCTTACTTATATTCCAGTTTTCAGAAATAGGAGTTTGATATGCACAGAGAATAATCTCTATAATTATCACAATTACTAGTGATCTTTTATTTTTAAAAGTGGTATATATCTTCTTCAGTACTTACCTGTATACTAGTTCTAAGCCTTCTCTCTGGTGGCCTAGTGATAAGAAGCTGTGCTGCAACATCCCACAGGTATGCAGTTTGGATCCAGTAGCTCCACAGGAAAAGGATGGACAAACTCCTCCCTTGTGATTTACTGCCTCTCAAAACCCACTGGAGGGTCAGTTATGAGTTGATTCTGACTTGAAGTACACACTGTAACAAAGCTCTAGCTACAGTTCCTCAAAAATTATTTCAGATATTTCAAGACTGAAATGCTCTTCTTGACACCAAAGCCTAGTAAACCAGAATAATTTTAGATCCTCCCAAAATCCCAGACCTGAATTTGTGGTATCTTAAATATTCAAAGAGCTGTTAAAATTTATGGATGTTAGAGTGGAAGAATTGCTGTTTGGTTCTTCCTTGCATATACTTTAAGGATATCAGACACATCTCCTCTCAATTCCAGGTCTTGCACATAATTTCCTGATACCTTCCATTATTTTTCTAGGGCCTGCTTTCCTTTTTACTGCTACCAGCCATTAATCCTAAGGAAAGTGAGTGCTTTTCTTTACTACATGTAATTTTTAATAGAACAAGAATTAGCAATTGACCTGTTTGCATGCAGAAACATATTTCTTTCTAATGCTTCTCAGAATTTGATCTGTCTGAACTATTCATGTTTCTATCACTACAGCATGCCTCATCTCCATAATTGCTCCGATTTTGTATTTATACTGTAGATCTTGACCCTGGGATGGGTACAGGGATTTGTTACACTCTCCTATATACATGGAGTTTCTCATCCATTGTTAATTCACATGCTACTGTCAATATTTTTCCTATTGTTGCATTTCATCCCAAACCCAAAATTTACTGACATAGAGTAATTTCTAACTCATGGGAAATCTTCCCTGGGTTTTCAAGATTGTAATTCTTAATGGGAGAAGAAGGCCTACCTTTTTTCTCCGTGAAGGCTGGGTAATCTGAATTTTTTAACTTTTGATTTGCAGCTCAGAAATCATGACCTACTGTGCCCCCAGATATCTTGCATAATGTTGGGACTATTACATTAATATTTTTCTTTAAATTGACTCATTATTTTACTCAAGTAAGTACAGCCGCATCCAATGAAATTATCAACAAAAACTACATATTTCAAAACACATAATCTTATCATTATTATCATATACGTGGTTCTCATGCCACAGTGTTCCTAAACTTAAACTTGTATATTTCTCTTTTGAGTTTGTTAGTTATATTAATGATCTCCTCTTAATTTTATTAATAATTTTTTACAATTTACAATTCTCTTTCTTTTCATTCATTTTCTGGTTATCATGTTTTAGATGCTATATACATTAAAAATTGCTTGCCTTATAAATATAGGTTACGAGTTTAATAATATTTTCATTGCTGCTAGGTGCTAATGAGTTTACTTCAGATAATGTGGTATTACTATGTGCTGTCTAGATGGAATCAACTCATAACTGACCCTCCAGTGTGTTTTCAGAGACTATAAATCACATAAAAAGAGACTGTCCATCTTTCTCCTGTAGAGCAGCTGATAGATTCAAACCTTATGGTTGGCAGCACAACTCCTTACACTTAGACCATCATATTGTCAGCGTTGTGTAGCCATCAAGAAACTACTAATGACCCTGGAACAGATTTTCTGAGGTTGTTGCTAGGAGAGGCTGTTACTTGGATAGGGACATGTTGCCAGAAAAGGGAGAGGGTCAACAAAATGAAGACCCCGAACTACATGGATTCATCAAGTGACTATAGCAATGGGCTCAAGTGTATAAGAGATGATGAGGATAGCACAGAATAGGGCAGGATTCAACACAATAACAACAAAATCACACAGGAAGTGATGGCCCATCTTTCTCCTGTGGAGCACAACCTCTGATAAACTTGAGCATAGTGACCCGATATATAATAGATCCAACTTGTTTGCCATCCTCACAATCTACCCTGTGCTTAAGCTCATTATCTTAGTCATGATTGTCAACACATTTCATTAAGAGTCGTCCTTTCTTTCAGTGACCTTGTACTTTTCAAAGCACGATATACATTTTTAAGCATGATGTCCTTTTCTAATGAATGACCCCTTCTGATAACATGTGCAAAGTATACAAGAATTTTCACCATCTGTGTTTCTAAGGGGCAGGGTTGAGAGCTATTGTAGGGTCACTGTGAATTGCAGGTGACTCAATGACACAAAATAACAGTGCCTCTAAGGAACATCTTTCTACACAGCACAGCACATCTTTCTAGACAGAGTTCTTTTGGAAATTCATGGTATATTCGATATTCTTTACCAACACCATAAGTCAAAAGCAGCAATTTCCCTTTGGTCTTAAAGGCCTGAACAGACCAAATCCAAGATCTGACTCTATCACTAATACAACTCCGAGGCTCTAACAATCATTCTGTGACTCTACATTTTTATTATAGAACGAAAGAACAATGAAAACATCCTCACTCTCTGAGGTCCACTGTGATTTAAAGCTAATGAACCAACCGCATGTCATTACTTCATTTGCAAAGACAACAAAAACAAATAAATCAATAAATAAAGTTCCACAGTACCCAGCCTAATGGGCCAGAAAATAAATAGCATATTTAGAAGTCAACTACTATATAATATTGACTGCTTGTTTAAAATGTACTATTTTTCAATTTTGTTATAGAACAAAATTATTCCAATGTTACCAAAATACTATAAGTTGACCATAAATACCAGAGAATATATTTTATACTAACAAATAAGTGTGAAATTTTGACTCTTGTGTTACAACCCTATCTATTTTCAATACAAAATTCTCTTTCAAAAGGCCACCAATACTGAGTAGAAGAACAAGTTCTCTGAGACCATGGATGATTGCTCTCATTATCACAGCTGTTGTGTTGGTTTTGGCAATAACCATCAGTCTCCTTGTTTATTTTTTGGCATATAGTAAGTATGTTATTGTATTTTAAAAAAAATTATAAAGCCACTCAGTTTATTTCAAGACTTTGCTATTTTCTAGTATCTCCAAAAGCAAATTTTATTTGAGTAAATGTTTGCACATTTGAAAAATGATAATCCCTTTTTATGGAAAATTACTTCTGGTCTATAGATCATCCACAGCACCCTGAACGCACCCAATCTCATCTAATCTCAGAAGTTAAGCAGAGTTGGGACTGGTTAGTACTTGCATGGGAGAAAAACTTCTTATATCAAAAATTTGACCAAAATTTGACCCTGGGGGACATCTTTTGAGCAATGTAACATCTAATATAAATTCATAGGTATACATTCTGTGCTATTTTGTGGCATATTAATATTTAGTAAATGGAATAAAAATTATTTTAGCAGGAATTCTATCTAGGAGGTGAATATGTGAGAATACATTTTAATAACAAATAGTGATAACTAATCATTTTCTTGAAGCAATTAAATCAAGAAAATGATTAGTTATCAATAATAGTTCATTATTGTGCCAGGACATAAATGATGACCACAATGACTATGAGAATGTTTGATTTAAAAATTAGAAGGAGATATTGGCCAGCAGCTATTGAATAATGTCTAGAGTTTATTTACCTTGTAGGGATTTTTCTATGATTCTTTCTACTTCTCCTACCACCTAAACTAACTAAATATAAACCATTTCCTTCTTACTCTCTCTTCCAGATCAGAAGCCTCATTATTACCGAGCTTCCTTCCAGGTCCCCAGTATTGAATACAATCCTGATTTTTCAGTAGAATACTCACAAAGTGGTACTCACTTAAAACAAGAGATCAGTAATGAGGTGAGTCTATGCTTTGCTGGCATCAGGACTACCCTGACCATAGTCTTGTGGAGAAAGAAGTCAGAGTAAGAAGCAAGTTAAGAGTGAATCTAATTGTTATCTACTACCTCTCGGTCCCCTGAGGACAGAAAGCAAATTCCTCTCAGACCCCTGATAGCAGGGTTCTCTTGACCCTGACTGGGTTTTCCACCATTTTTAGGGTTACAGTTCTGGACTTTTGCCACAATTATTTTGGAAATGCTTGTCAACCAGGCAAAGACTCTCTGGGGTAGAAAATTAGGGCAAAATAAATCTTATCCTGAAGTCTTAGGTGAAAAATCTCTCAAGCTTTCTATTTCAAAGAACCAAGGCAAAACTATCATGTAAAGAAATTCATTTTAGCATACTGCTTGATGCTACAATATAAGTATTAACTTTATCCATTTCTCAGAGTTGTTCTGAATATACTTTCTTCCTGTCACAAGGTGTCACTGAGTTGCTCAAACTTACAGAACCTTTTGTACAACAGACTGAAACCGCCTGATCCTGTAAAGTTCTCACAATCTCTGCTGTGCTTTATTTCACAACAACAAGAGATGCTGCCCATCTTTTCCCTTCAGAGGAGTTGAGAGTAACTTCCAACTTTTCAGTTAGTAGCCTCATCAATACATACATACATACTATGCTACTAGGGCTCCTTACTGTAATGAATACAGAGAATGGAAATCAATGCATCTGAATAAAGACGAGTTTCCATTACTCATAAAAACTTCTCATGTACCTCTTAGAACATGCTATATCATTTTTATATGACATTTACCTCTCTTGATTTGTAATGTCTTTTATACCTAGGACTGTACCTTCTTTTTCTCTCTAATGCTTCTGTCAAGGTTTACTGTAAAAATACCCATTATAAATGTTAAAAATATCATTAAAGAGATGAATAGTAAATAAATTACTGTTTTATTAGTAATTTACCATTGCTCTTACCCTCTATATGTAATTGGAAACAACAAAAATAAAATAAATACAGTAGCTAAACCAGGAATAAGGTGGGTTTTTTGTTTGTTTTTTTCTGCTACAAAGATAGTAAATATCTTCAACTTTATGGGTATCTAATTGTTCTACAACTATTCATGTCCATAATACAAAGGCAATCTTAAACAAAACATAAATAAACAAGTGTCTCTATATTCCTATGAAACTTTTTTGTGGACCCTGAAATTTGAATTTAATAGAGTTTCCAAATATTGCCAAAGAATTATTCTTCTTGTTTGTGTGTGTATTTTTATCAAACTTACATCATTTGCCAGGCTATATAAAATCAGGCAGGAGGTCAGATTTAGTCCATCAACCATAGTCTGCTGATCCTTCATATAGATGGTAGGTTATAGTTATAACAAAATTTTTCTAGAAAAAGGGTAAAAACTAGAAGCTAAACTGGAGTTTAAAGAAAGGGAGACCCTGGAGATGAACTGAGCTTAAGGAAAGCAGAGTGTGACGACAGTGAAAGGTTTCATTTTGTTGCACAAGAATGTCAGAACTGAGAGGACAGCAACAACACATGTATTAATTTTAACATATACATGCACAATGATCATATGCACATATATACATCACATGTTTCCTTAAAAAAAAAAACCAATTTGTCAAGATAGCCACTTTAAAAGGAACTATTCCTTAGGGAACTTTTACTCAACAAACAAATATGCCTTTAAGGGACTTTTTACCAAAGCTGAATCAATGGAGTGAAAAGTACTTGTTAAACATATACTGATTTCTAAGTTTGGCTCCTCATCTCTCTGACTTGTAGACCTAATTCTAAATTCAAGTTCACAGAAGGATTGGTATAGGATCATTCTTTCTTCCTGACAAGCCAGTTTGATGATTCAATGATGATAAACAGACTTAAAAGAACATAGATTCTGCAACACACTGTGTGGTTTTAGTAAGAAGCAATTTGCTCTAGGCATTTGTCACACAAAGAAATTACTCCATCCAGGAAGTTTAAAGTGAAAAATAAGTGACACATTTTCGCTAAGTTATCATTTCCTTCATTTAAAATTTCTTTATTTATTTTAATGAACGTTTACGGAGATTTTGGATTTCCATTCATTCACTGTTGCATTTTTCTCCCTTCCCACCCCTCCCCCTCCAGTTCACTCTTGTTTTTGAAAAGTAAAAGTTAAAATATATTTCGTGAGCATTTTCAAGAAGTGCTAAAATAATAGTTCTTTCTTTTCATTTCCCTCCTTTAGCACTGTGTCAAAATTTGGCCTAAAAGTTTTCACTAAAATTTAAAAAACTGTACAATCAAATCCATTAGAATGATAGCTAGCTTAATTAGCAGTGAGCATCCAATGATAAATCTATATGTACTGAGCTTTGACAAAAACCCAGTCTCAGAATTCTCATCCAACTCTGGGCACATTTTATCCTGACTGTATAACTATGAGCTCTGATTGTATAGTCCATAGGAAGTTGTACTACTAACTTAGAGACCACACCTCTCTGTGAGCTGTAATCCACCAACTAAGAGGGAGAAAGGTAGGCAATCTCCTCCTTTATGATTTATAGCCTCAGAAAAACCAGTGGTGGATCAACTATAGTTGATTCAGTGACAATGAGAGGAAGAGAAAGAATTTACTTGGCTTAATAAAAGTTTTTATATCATTATTTTTGTCCATGTGAGAAGTTATTAAAATATCAACATTAAATTATAAGAATTATCTTAATAAGAACAGGATTGTATCCAAACATCAGAGTAAATGCTATTCAAATCACCACAGATCTTATACAAGAACTTTTTTGTGACGTATTAAAATGTGCAGAATTTATATTTATTAATTTTATGTTTTATTTTCTCTTTTCTCAGATAGACAATATATTTCAAAGATCCAGTTTAAATCATTACTACATCAAGTCTCACGTTGCCAACTTTAGGTAATCACAGCTAATTAATTTGTATGCTAAAAAGGCAAGTTTATATTATTTAATTATTTATCAATTATTCACTGTTTGAACAGGTTCTTAAAAAGCTATGCTAAAAAATTAAAAAAGGAAAAATCTATACTAAAAGCAAGTGGAGTTTAACACTATTATGCTTAATTGTTATTACTGCTACACCTGTAATGAAAGTTTTTTAACTTGAATAGAGATGAAAGTATTCTGCTGATTTTTCTTAGCACACGTTAGCATTTCAGTTAAAAAAATATTTGCAATCTTTAACTACTTTACTCAGTCTTATGTCTTTCTTCCTTATAATAAGCAGCTTCCATAACTATTGAAAGTATATATCTTTTTTAAGAATATATAATCATCAATACACATATAAAGTTAGTGTATTTAATAATTGCATTTTTATTTTTCCACAAAAAATATATGATAGAAATTTCAGATGTATTTTTGTTTCTGAATATAAACTTGTTTCATAAACAAGAATACCTGTGTAATATATAAAGAAGAAGCTTTGGTGGTGCAGTACTGAAGTACTAGGTTGCTTCAGTAGATTAAACTCATCAGTATGTCCTATAACAGAAAGATGTGGTAGTCTTCATCCAGGAAAACTGCATCCTAAGAGACCCTTTACGGCAGTTCTACTCTGTGCTGTAGGGTGGTTGTGTCAGAACTGATTTAGCAGCAGTGGATTTTGATTTAATGTATGAAGAGGAAAAGTCTATGAAACAAAAATGTATGAAATATTTTTGTTATGGTTTCTTAATGATATTGCTAATTCTTAAATAGTATGCTATAACCATGATGAATGGAGAAAAGATTGAGGTTGTTAACAGTTACAGCTTGCTCAGCTCTACAATCAACACTCTTGGTACTAATAAGCAGAAAATCAAAAGATGATTACATTAGGTAAATCTGCTGTCAGGAGAATAATGAGAAGCAATGATCTCAGTCTAGAGACTAAGGTGCACCCAATCCAGGCCATGGTCTTTGCAATTACTTGCTATGTTCCAGAGAGCTGGATAATGAATAAGGATGAGATGACAGAAAAATAATTGATGCCTTTGAGTTGGGGTGCTGGACAAGAGTCTTCAATATGCCTTGGATTGCCAAGAAACAAACAGATCTGTCTTGGAGAGACTAGGGTTTTTTTTTCTTTTAATTTTCTACTCGTTTGTTTAAAAAACTCAAATACATTGTTTTAAAGAACAAATTCTTTCAATTTCCCTCACTCCCACCCTCATCAAATTGTACAACCCCATGATTAATCCACACCCCTCCCCCTGCACATACTCATCCCTCTGCTTCCACCCTCCCCCAACCCAGTTGGATCCTTATTCTCATTCTACAATAATGGTTTTATACAATATTTATCCTTATGGAACAGAGTCAGTTTACTCAACATAATGCTCTCCATACCTTCCAAGTAAGGTAATAATTTACAAAGTTATTTCTCCTGTGTGCTGTATAGTATTAATTGTGTGAATGTACCATAATTTCTCAATCTTTTCATTTGTGGTTGGACATTTGGGCTGTTTCCATCTTCTTGTGATGGTGAATAATGCTGCTATGAGGATTGGTGTACAACTCTCCATTTGTGCCCCAGATTCTCATTTTCTCAGGGTATATTCCAAACAGTGGAACAGCTGGGTCGTATGGAGCTTCTATGTTTCACTTTTTGAGGAAACACCAAACAGCCTTCCAGAGTGGTTGTGTCATTTTACAATCCCACCAACAATATATAAAAGCTCCTTTCACATCACACACTCTCCAATATTTATTACTTGCTGCCCTGTTAAATTTTTTCATTGTTATTGGAGTGAGATGGTACCTCATTGTGGTTTTGACTTGTATCTCTCTTATTGCCAGTGATTTGAAGCATTTCTTCATGTGTCTGTTTGCCATTCAAATATCTTCCTCTGTGAAAATTCTTTCCATGTCTTTGGCTTATTTTGTAATTGGGTTATCAGTCTTTTTCTTGTGGAGGCCAGGAGTATTCTGCAAATTTTTGTTATAAGACTCATCTGAGATGGCATTACCAAATTTTTTTGTTCATTTCCGGTTGTATTTGTTAGTCTGAGAAACAAAAATGAGGTTGGAGGCATAGCACTCCCTGACCTCAAAACCTACTAGACAGAAGTAGTAAGCAAAACAGCATGATACTGGTAAAAAGTCAGGCACATAGATCAGTGGAACAAAGTTGAGAACCGAGAAATCGACCCAGCTATCTGTGGTCAGCTGATATTCGACAAGGAAATCAAAGTTCTCAAATGGGGAAATGATAACGTCTTCAACAAATAATGCTGGCAAAACTGGACTTCCACCTGCAGAAAGTGGAAACGAGATCCACATCTCACAACATACACAAAAATCAACTCAAGGTGGATCAAAAACCTGTGATTAAAGACCATAACCATAAAGTTCATAAGAGACAAACTGGATCAAACTTAGAAGGGTTACTCCAAGGAATAAAGAGACTAGGATTTTGAAGCTCTATCTTACATATTTTGGGTATGTGGCCAGGAAGGACTGAACCTTGAAGAAGGACATCATGCTTTGAAGGGTGGAGGGACAGCGCAGAAGAAGAAGACCCCAGATTAGGGGTAGATGTGTGGCAGTCAGTGAGGCTGGCCCAGGACAAGGTAGGCTTCAGAGCTGTTGTGCATAGGGTTGCTGTGAGTCACAGGTGACTCGAGTGCACATGACAACAACAACATCACATATTTACTGTGACTATGATTGCACTAATTTATTCTGATATTTTGTTTTTCAGGCCAAGTAATAATGGTTTGACAACAGATGTATTGCTTAAATTTCAGTTTTCCTCTGATAATGCAGATACAGTAAAGAAACAAGCTGATGACATTTTACATCAGAAGCTGAAATCTGATGAAAGTTTCCTGAGGATAGACACTTCATTACCTTACCTTAAATGTAAGAAATATTTTTCAAATTGTTGTTGTTTTACTGTACAATCAAATTAGAACCGACTCAGAGCTGACTCTACAGTAAGTTTTTAGAAGGAGTAAAATTTTTAAATTAATTAAAATTTTATTCTCTTAGCAATATATGGGGGAAAGCTTACTTACTGAACTACATAAGAAGTCAATTTTCAGTGTTTATTCTTGAACACCACCACAACTACTTGAACAAATCTTCACACCATTCACCCAAAGATTATATTTGATTACGTTAATGGAAATCTAAAACAAGACTTGTGCAAAAACCCAAATGTAATTGAATCCTTCTTATTCTAAAAGACTGAATGAAATTGTTTAACTAGTATGTATATGATAAAAAAACTATACTGTGCTGTGTATGTTGTAGTCTATAGTGTCTACATATTCATCCTGAAATGTTATTGTCAGCTATTATTGACCCGACAAAAACAAAGACCAAAGGAAATTTATCTCCAAATATATTAGTTCATATCCAAAACTTGCCCTATGTCTTCTGTTTTAACTCCCATTTCCATAACTGGTATGAAATGTCATAAACTTGATGTAATTCTTCATCGCAAGCAATATCCTCTGTGTCATTGTTTTTATAAACCGTAAATCGGAAGATCCCTGTATTCCATATAGAGTTAGCAAGAAGAGTTTGATCTCTATTTAGATTTCTCTTTTGTGTAGGATTTTATTCTCTTGCCTTAAACTATTGCCAGGAGGGACGGGTTCTTGGAGAGGGACATTATGCTTGGTAGGGTGGACGGACAGCGCAGGAGGGGAAGACCCTCTATGAGATGGATTGATTCAGTGACTGGGGTAATCGGGATGGGTGTGTCAGAGGCAGTGCGGTTGGCGCAGGATAGAGCAGTGTTTAGGGCTGTTGTGCATAGGGTCACTATGAGTCGCAAACCACTCGACGGCACATAACAACAACAACAACAATGCAATTACAGGAACTCTGTAGTACTGTTTCTAAGAAATTCAGTTGCTAAATAAAAGAACAACAGTTTGAACTTGCCAGTTGCTCCATGTGGAAAAAAGATAAGACAGTCAGTCCCAGTAAAGATTACAGCCTTAGAAACCCTGTGAACAGTTTTACTTTGTCCAACAGCCTCACCAGGAATTGTAATTACCTTATTGGCAATGTGTTTTATTTTAGGAGAGGGTGTAGGGATAAAGGGTGAAAGTGGTATTCTGTTGGTAGTACAATTCCTTCTAACAAAACCTTTCATATTTTGGAAGCATAGTGTGTTAACTGATACTTTTTTATTTGCTGAAAAATCTTTTTTTTTTTTTTACAGATATGAATAAAGTACAAGCCGAGCACATTCTTAACAGTTGTAAGTTCAAGAATATAACTAAGATGGTTGTAAATCTAAAAGTTTAAAGCATATATATTTTTAAGTGTTATCTCTTTCTTGTTGTTGTTGTTATGTGCCATCGAGTCACTGGTGACTCATAGTGACCCTATGTACAACAGCCCTGAATCCTCTTCTATTCTGAGCCAACCTTATTGTTTCTGACACACCTACTACCCCATTACACCGGTCACTCAATCAGTCCATCTCATCAATGGTCTTCCTCTCTTGTACTGTCTCTCCACCCTCCCAAGCATGATGTTCCTTTCCAAGCACTGATCCCTCCTTGAAACATGCCCAAAGTATGTCAGACAAAGCTTCAGAATCCTTGCCTCCAAGGTGCAGCATGGTTTCACCCTCTCCAGGTTGAATCTGTTTGTTCTCCTAGCAGTCCGTGGAATACTCAATACTCTTCTCCAGCACCACAGCTCAAAGGCATCAATTCTCATTCTATCATCCCTAGTCATTGCCCAGCTTTCTGACACATAGCAAGTAATTACAAAGACTATGGCCTGTATCAGGCACACCTTAGTGCCCAGACTAACATTGTTGCTTTTCAGTACTTTGGAGAAGTCCCTGACAGCAGACTTTCCCAATGCAATTCATCTTTTAATTTTCTGACTGCTGGTACCAAAAGTACTTGTTGTACACTTAATATTTCTCAAAAGCATACAATTATTATGAATAAGTAAGTAATTAAGGGCATGCAGTTGAAAGAAAGATGGGAAATATTCTTCCATGCAATTTACTGCTTTTGAAAGCCAACTGATGGATCAGCTATGAGGCTGTTCTGACTCGATGGTACATAACAATAATCTGTAAAGTTTATGGTAATCCTGTTGGAAATGCTTGCTCTTTGTCAAAGAACTCATTACTCATAATTTTCTTTTTACAATTTTCTTTTATTTAATGTTATTAAGTTTTCACTCACTTTATGTATGTAGAAAATCATTAATAGTACTAATTATAACAAGAGTGATGTTCCTTTACAGAGAATAATCTTTCCTAACAATATTCCTACAGCATATGAGACAAAGATTTGTCATATATTCCTTCAAGGAGTACTGTGGCTGAATAGTCTTTAAGATATATCTGTTCTTTTGACAATGCATAAGATATTTAGCAATCTTTTCCAACACCTCAGGTCGAAAGCATCAAGTCTCCTGTCATACTTAATCATTGTCCAGCTTTCAGATTCATAACAAATGATTGAAAAGATCATGGTCTGAATCAAGCCTACCTTAATCTTCAAACTGACATCATTGTTCCTCAGTAATTTGGAGAGGTCCCTGAATTTCTCAAAATTAACAAAAATATTTTGTAAAAAAAAAAGAACGGAATTCACGTTATATAGAGCTCCGGTACCCCAGTGGCAAGAAGTTGCACCACAATCTCAAAGGCATGTCGTTCAAGGCCACCAGCTGCTCTGCAGGAGAGGGATGGGCAATCTCCTCCTGCAATTAACTGCCTCTGAAAACCCATCAGATGGTTGGCTATGGGTCTATTCTGACTCTTTGGCATACCAAAACAACATTATACAAAAGAAGCTTTTTAAAAACAAACAAACAAAAAAAAACCCCACCCCAAGGCATTTGCAGCAGTAAGTTAAACACTGCAGCCTTCAATATGGATTGCATCTCAAACATCAGGAAAACAAAATCCAGATCCTTTTTTGGTTCATATGCATGATGATTGGGTGTTCATGCTTTTGTATGACATGTGCCTCCCTTAAACTTTGTTATGAATTCTGTACATTACCCATCTAACATGGGAGGGGTGGAACCCACAAACAAAAAGAAAACAAAAAATCCTTGCCACTGAACCAGTAGGCAACATCATGGTGAGCAGAAAAAAGGCTGAGACTATTAGCAACTTTGTCTCACTTAGATCCACAATCAATTCTCTTGGTTCTGGCAGTCAGGAGCTAGGATACATATTGCACTGGGAAAATCTGTAGTCAGGGACTTTTCCAAATTACAGAGCAAGGATGTCACTTTGAGGAATATGGTGTGTTTTATTCAGACCATGGTCTTTTCTCTCACTTGCTATGTGTCAGAGAGCTAATGATAAGGAAGAATAAGGAAAATAGAAAACTTTAAAAAAAATTGGAATTAATAGGAAAGAGTGCTGAAGATTCCATGGACTGTCCAAAGAACAGATGTTTTGCAGATGATGCAGCCAGAGTGCTCTTTGGAAGCAAAGATAATGAAGTTTCATCACACACGTTGTTGTTGTTGTGTACCGGAGAGTCAGAATCAAAACATATTTGACCTTCCAGTGGGTTTTTTAGAGGCAGTTAATCACACAGGAGGAGATTACCCATCCTTCTCCCACAGAGCAGCTGATGACCTCGAACACACTTCTTCAGTATTGCAGCACAGCTTGAGTAACTTGCCAAGAGACGTTATTCCTTGTATATCATGTTTCGGAAGGTGGAGGAGTGATGAATGAAAAGCCCTCAATCAAATGTGTTGACACAGTGACTCCAGCAATGGGTTCGAGTGTGCCAGAGTTTGTGAGCATAACACAGGATAGGATAGTGTTCAGAGAAATTGTTCATACAATGTAAGTTTTACTTGGCTCAACAGTACCTAACAACAACTACTTGCCTAATTACTGTACTATTTCCTTACAGATTGTGGTATAGGGAAGGAGTCCCCATCTTCTTCCATGGAAAGAATTGCCCTTGGTGATGATGCAAAGAAATCTGCTTGGCCATGGCAAGCCAGCCTGCAAATAGATGGAATCCATTTCTGTGGAGCCTCTTTAATCAGTCAGGAGTGGCTCCTGACTGCTGCTCACTGCTTTGACAAGTAAGTCTTCAGTCACCTCCAACAGAAGTGCTAGTTCCACCCCTCTCTCTCATTCACATCCTAGAATTCTTATTTCTTTACATTTTCTTCATAAACATCTTAAACAATCAATGCTGAGTTGATTTGGTGTATCAAAATAGAAACATAGTTCATGGATTTTCAATAACTGATTTTTCTAAAGTAAACTCAGGCCTTTTTTTTTATAAGACACCTCTAAGTGACCTGAAATTTCAACTTTCCTTTATTAATTAAGCTCACATTGTAAGAACCCACCAAGTTAACTGTTGCACTACTCATGAACTCCTATGGAAAGAGTGTTCTTATTGTATTTACCTTCCGATGTATACTGACTTACAAAAATAATCTACATAATAAAGTTGAACTGCTCTACTGAATAGTTTAGACTATGATCTTTATAGAAGCATCTTGATAGGTCTTTTTTCCTGAGAAGCTACTAGGTGAATTCAAACAGTTAACAGCTAAGCTCTTGGACATTACGTCACCAAGGTTTCTTATGAATGTCTTAAACTTCCTGATACTACCCATGACTGTTCAGTCAGCTTAGGAAAAAGCATCAGTTACTAAATAGTAGAATAATTGGAGAGAATAACTTAGATTCTAACTAAAATTATACTCCCTAGTATTCTCAATTTTAACAAAAAACATTTTATCAATGTCAAAGTTGAACATATCCATTTTCTTGAAATACACTGTGGATTTTTTCTTTTACTCTGCAAATAGTATTTTATTTAAAAACACTTATAACTTGTTATCTCATGTGCTTGTCATGGCCAAGCACTGTACTTTATTTTGGAGATCTATGTTTTTGAAGATTTACTATATGGGATATAATAAAAATATATTGTAATAAAATACATATAAAACAAGAATATAAGATAAAATGTTAAGAGGAGTAAAAAGTATATAAACTGTGGAGAAAACAGTGCAACAATGAATGAATGAAAGCCAAAAATCTCTGTAAATGTTCATTAAAACTAATAAAATTTAAATTAAAAAAAAAGAAAAACAGAAAAAGGTATATAAGCTGTGTTCAAAAATTATATACCCTTTATTCTATAGATTTCTCTGTCACAATTTATAAAATTATATGCTCATTTATATAACTCTACATGGATATGAATGTATATGTGTATATATAAATTCATGCCAACTTAAATGTCTATTTTATTTAACCTGTTTTACTTTTATAACACACATTTTTTGTTTTTAAAATATTGCTTACTTATGAGTAATTGGAGATATTTTAGCAAGGGGTTTTGTTACCAGCTAGAAAAGAGCAAAGCAAATCAAGGAGAGAAGCTTCAAATAAAAAAGTGGGAAATTCCAGTCAAGTATTCTCTCAAAAATATGCTTTATCCCACTCTTATATCCCATGAGCCTGTAGAGTCCCAGGCAACATTACTTCAGAAATGAATCAACTGTATTTCTTTTATTCTGTGATCAGTTACAAAAATCCAAGACTATGGACGGCTAGTTTTGGAACGACTCTCCAGCCTCCACTGATGAGAAGAGATGTGGAGTCCATTATCATTCATGAAAACTATGCTGCCCATAAGCACGAAGATGACATCGCTGTGGTGAAACTTGCCACCCCTGTCACGTTTTCTGATAACATTGGCAGAATCTGTCTTCCAGAAGCTACTTTTGAAGTCTTCCCTACGACTAAACTATTTGTCACTGGTTGGGGAGCACTGGAAAAAAATGGTGAGTGTCTCAGCATAAACAACTAGCAAAACTGAAGTAATCATTCTTTATTTCAACAAAGATATGAAATAAGAGAGCTCATGACTCAAATCCACCAGCTGCTCCTCAGGAGACGGACAGGCAATCTGCTCCCTTATGATTTACAGCCTCTGAAAACCTGGAGAGTCACCTTGGTTTCGACTCAATGACACACAAAAACAGCAACAACAGTAGCCTAGTGATAAGAACCTACATTGCAATCCTAAAGGCTCACTGTATGAGAAGGATGGGAAATTTCTCATGTTATTTACTGCCTCTGTGGTGTGCTTATGAGGTTAATTAGACAACAATGTGAAAGAATACAGAAAACGAAAATAATAAATAGAATAAAAGATTAAATCAATATGTCTCAATGCAAATACAGCCAAAAAAAACAAACAAGAAAACTGGATAGAATGATTTATGAAAACTGGCTGTACTATTACATACCATTGTTGTTCTTGTGTACCATTTAGTTGGAACAGACTCATAGCAGACCCTCCAGTGGATTTTCAGAGGCTCTAAATTGCATGGGAAAAGATTACCTATCTTTCTTCAGTGGAGCAGCTGGTGGATTTGAAGTGCTTGCCTTTGGGAATGCAACACAGTTTCTCCTTACTAAGCCACCAGTTTAGGTAGCACAATAGATAAATACTTAGCAAAAATATTAGTGGTTCAGGTTCACCAAGTAGCTCCAGGAGAGGTAAATGTGATGATCAGCTTGTACAAAGATTAAAACCTAGAAAATCTTACCAGAAAGTTCTACTCTATCATACAAATTTGCTATGAGATAGAATCAAGTCAATGACACTTAAGAACAAAAAATTTTACTAAACAGTAGAGATGTATGCTTAATTCTGAATATAAATTTCTATTTCTTCTCTAAGTAAATCTTTTAGTTAGGCTTCCACCCCTCCCCTTATCGTTTAACCAGCCCTAAATGTCTACTTATTGAACTGAGTCTTTATTTTGAGGTCAGAGGGGTTTCTATGATGTTAACTAAATTACAATTTTATCCACTGAGTATCTATTAAGTCTCAAATCTTAAATATGCACTACAATACTCTGACTGATATTGGGTCCAAATGTGGCAGGGTTATTATAACCTGAGATGGCTTTTCTTCATCTCTGTAGAAATTTACATTGTGTTATAAGAAACTATGAAGAAATAAAATTCCTGAGACAAACAAGCTACTTCTACTTGGTATAGAAAGTATCTACCACTTGAGCATCTCCATAACATTTCCTCTAGAATCTAATTAGAAGTTCTTAGGAGTCCAAAACAAATAAATCATTTAACTGCTATCCGAAAGCTAGAGGTTTGAGTCCAGTCAGAGTCCTCCAGAATATAAGTCTGATGATTTACTTCTGAAAATTCAGCCAATGAATACACTATGGAGCACAGTTATTCTTTGAAATACATAGAGTCATCATGAGACTGAATTAATAAAAAACAACGTGCTGTTGTTTTGTCTTCTAGAGTCTAATTAAACTTAACACTGCCACATTTAATATGACAGATTGACACAATGATTATAACAATGGATAAGCATCACAGAAATAAGAACGTCACAATACAGAGCAAGGTTCAAACTTACTGTTCATAGAATTGTTATGAGTCATAGCTGACTCGATAGCACTTAAAAACAACAACTTGTCAGAGAAACAGTTCAGGAATGATTAGGGACACTCTGTGATTCACTCAATACCCCATGGAGTGAAGACACATGTAGCTATCTTTGTTGTTGCTGTTGTTGTTGTTGTTGTTGTTAGGTGCTATCAAGTTAAGTATGACTCATAGTGATCCTATGAACAAAAAATCTGAACCTAATCCTGTCCTGTGCCATCCTCACATTTCCGTGACACACAAAAACCCAATGCAAAAGTCACCATGTCATTCCACCAGGTAGGGGTCTTCCTCTCCTTTGACCCTCCACCTTTCCCAATATGATGTCCCTGTCCAAGGAATAACACCTTCTAGCAATACACCCAAATTAAGC